CTCTTCTTTGCTCCAACCCTGCCACGCATGCTCAGGGATAACCAGCGTCACCCTGCAAGGATGCGCCAGGAGATGAAAAGTGCTGCTCTACGCCCTTCTTTGTAGGACGTGGGGAAGGTGGTGTTTAATACTCAGTAGACATGAGTTGACAGAGTAGTCACATTTGTTAGTCAGGATGAGACAGCCCAGTCATTCAACATTTAACTCTGTGCAACACAGTCTGACCTCTGAGTGGTAAGCGTTTCTCATTTTAGGAAAAACAAATATAACTTTCAGTTAGCGTTTCCAAAGGGTTGCCAAAGACTGTGATAAAGGAAAGGAAAAGGCATCCAAGTAGAGTCAGGCTGGAGAAGTAATTACAATTTTAAAAGGGAGGGTCTGGGCCCCCTGCACCGGCTGTAGGTCTGCCTGCTTGACCTCAGGTGAGATCCCCTACTTCTAACATGCCTGTGGTTTTAGCCAAACCCAAAGACAGAAGCACAGCAACAGTTAGGGATCCTTAGTAAAGAGCTGTAGCTGATTAACAAAAACCACAGAAAAATACACAATACAGTTTATGCAGCTAAGAGGAAAAAAGAGTTCATTTGATAAAAGAAAAGAAGACATTCTTTGTTGCGTAAATCTTTCCAAAGCTGAAACCTCGGGATACTGCAACCACTCAGGCGAAACCCAACCGTTAGAAGAGTTCTGACTGTTAAGAAACTGCTTGACTTGATCTTCAGCAAGAACTTGTCTGGGCATTTCACTGGATTTCCTGAAATACCGGGAACAATACTGTAATAACAAGTTTCCTTTGAGGGGCAAAAAAGAAACCTGGACACACCCTTTATTCAAGCAAGATATTTATTACAATACACAATAAGGAAAGACTGGTTTGATGAATCCCCTCAAGTCATAATGACAGGTGGGAGGCATCCAAAGGCGCTGGGTTCTCCTGCACACCCACACACGTGTGCACACATGCACGAGCGCACACTCACTCTCAGCAGCCGTCAGACACTCACACATCAGTAAATGCTCAATTTGTCTAACAACCCTTAGTGACTGGGTGCAGGGAGGGGAAAGCATTTTCAGTAATTTCTCTATCTATTTCATGCTAGTTACCGGCTGTAAATTATGCAAGAACAAGTTAACTGCACTAACTCTCCAAATTATTACTAGTCACTCAGCAGATCTGACATCCACCCCAGAGGAACACATCAACCTCCTACTGACTGCAAGTGAATGGAGAAGTAAGTAGGCACTTATCTCTTCCTTAATCTATCTCTCCAGTCAAGACTGATGATCATCTCACAAAATTAAGGGAAAAAATACTAAGCCATTAGTTGGGGAAAGAGAGGGAAAAAGGCAAGAAAAAAGGGTCAAAAGAGGTACAGAAATCTGATAAAGGCATGAAAAGAAGCTGACTAAGAGCAGTTCCTGTTGAACTTTTAGAACATTTATGTTACACCTTCATAAGCAGTGCAAGTTGTGTTCTTGAGAACTACAGGGACCACGTGTTTAATCTTGTTTTCACATATCCCTTTAACTAATTAAAAACTCAGAAGCTTTTATTCAGAGCTCAGTATTTTTAATATGCTCAGATAATGCAATTAACTTGAGAAGAAAAGCACTTCAGTAAAGGTTGCACCTTATCTACACTGTGAGATCATGCTTCACATTAATTTTTATTCTAGATTCCTTTTATGGGACAAAACCCCACATATTTTCATCCAGTGCAAAGCTATTCCTTTGAAAGAGAACATTATAATCTATTTATTTCTCCTAGAGACAACACGTGCAAAGCTGTGTTAATATTTCAAGGTTTGTCAGACAAAGCTGACTCAGTTTCACCAAAACTGGTGTTAGACTACCTTTGCTGACTGATGATTAATATTTTCACATCTGAGTCTGGATACAAAGCTAACAGTTTGAAAGAAAAGACTTGCTACAGCGTCTTTCCTCCAGTGAACACTGAAGAAAATAGCGTGCAGAGTAATAACCCAGAGATAACAGCGTTCAGCCACTTTATGTCTCCAGTTTTAGAGCTTCATTAAGATTATTTAATGACCATCTTTTGATGGCAATATTGGAGAAAACTAAATGCAATGGCTGCCTTCACAGGTCCATCAAAGCTGAGAAGTATCAAAGGTGAGAACTGTAGTGTCATGTTTGTGTCCCAGTTGAGCAGGGAGGCTTTAGTAGATCGTCATACACAACAATGATACATGCTTTTCTAGGAAGGAATTAGATTCATGGTACTCGTGTCAGCCCACAAAATTTGAGGAATGCCCTAAATTTAAATAAAACTTGCATCTAAGTGGTCTAATCTGTAGTCACCGACTTACGAATGTGAAGAAATCAATGTTATGGCTAACATAAATCAAAGTAATCCATTCATTTGTATATAACAGCTTCCCTTTACTGCATGGAACATAAATACCCAAACACGAATTGAGTTACTCCTTGCTGTGTTGCATGAATCCCAGCAGAAGGTTACAATGATGAATGAATCACAGTTAAATGTAAAGGCAACATGTGGGAGAAATCTGAAAGGAAAACAATACTTTGTCATCTGAAGACTTGTTTACACTAATTTTATATTTACGTGCACAATCTAGGTTTTGCCTCTGCCCAATTTTCTAAGCTTCAGACACGCTCCTCAGTAGACGTTTGTACGCATACTGACATTCACTCTCTTGTTTTCTGTAGAGTTGAGGAGACCAGCATGGTATTTAAAACATATTTCCCTTTGGACCTTATTGTCTTACAATTGCAAACCTCTTAAATAAAGAGCAAAGGCTGCTCGGCTAATTTGAAACGTGAGTAATATTCACATTGCCAGCTTTCATACTTAGCTTTTTAGGTTTTCCTTTTTAAACCCAGGTCAGATACGGAAAACATGCGAAGATTAGTTTTTAATTAGTCAGATGTTTTCAATGCCTGCAAAATCTTTTCAACTCTCCATCATCCTATGAAAGGATTTTGATAGCAAAGGTCAGTATCTTCCTGGCCAAAGGGAAGATGTTGACCTGCCTGTAGATGTTCATGAAGAGGGGAGGGTTCCGAAAAGGAGGTCTGGGCTCAGAAACAGCTACCTAAAAGGACACTTAACAGACTGAATAGACTTAGCAGTGCTTACTCACAGAGTTCTTTTGCTTACATTAATGCATATTAAAACCCAGAGCTATAGCAAAACTATTGAAACAACTCACTTAGGGAAGATCTAATCTCATCTATGAATTCCTGTGTCTTTTAAAACACAAGCAGTATGGTGAATGTATGCATATAGCATGATTTCCACACTGCTGTTCTGCATGGATTTACCTGAATGTAGAGCACAGACTCTGTAGGTAAGTTAGTAGGAAAGTCTACAGTGAGCTGCAGACCACAAAAACCATTACAGATGGTATGTATGCCTAAGCTATAAAACGTGTTTAATCAGATACGAGCAAAATCTGCTAATTGTGCAGTTCGTTACTGAGAATGCAAATTATAGTCCACATGCATCAGACATTACCAATCAGGTCTGAAAATGGGTGTGGGAATACTTTAAAGAAATTCATTATATGGATTTGATTGCATAACACACAGGTATTCTGTGTTTACAGGCTGAATAACTGCAGGACTGAACTATGTGAAGATGTCTTCAGGCAAGAATTTCAATCAACATCCAAGCTTCATTTTTCACTTCAGAAAACAATATATCGATTTATCCTTGTTTCCTAGAAAAGCCTTTGATTAGAAATGTCAAGATAGCATCGATAAAAATTATTCAAATATATGATAATGCAATACTAACCACCTATCTCTTACTGCCAAGTACAGACAGACTGCTTCAAGTGAACACAACTCATTACTTACAGTTCTGAAATGAGGTAAACAACATAAAAAAAATCCCAGCACACACAAACAGAAACGTTCCTTACGCCTCAAATCAAGCTTCATGCAAGGCTTAGATATCGACATGTCACTGCCCACTCTTGGTGAAGGCTGTTTCAAAATGTAATACCTCCCTTATGAGAACAATAATTACCTTTACCTTCGTTTGCGAGCAAGGCTGTAATACCTCACTTGATCTTATCTCACCAGATGAGTGATAGACCTATCATGCTCATGAATGAAAGGCAATCAGCCCTCCTTACTACTAAGATATCTTATGAGTCCCGAGCTTAGGAGCACCACACATTTCACTGAGCCAAGCAATGAGCTGGGTGACCTGGAAAACCTGCAGAGGCCCCATGTAGCTCATCTCTTCATTGTCTTTTCCCATTTAATCCATTCTGCCTGTGAAGTTCAGTACAGCTACAGCCCACTCCCAGCAGGCAAAATTTTACGAACTGGCAATTCACATGTTTATTTCTGCATTGTGGAAGTCCCTGCAGCCCCATGCCTCTGCCTGGATTTAAATCTGACTTCTGAAAAAGGGCACACTGACTTGAAAAGGGGGTTGACTCTTCTAGAAAGAGCAGATCAAAGTTTCAGCAACAATAGGTTGGGAAAACCGATTTGAGGAAGGCCTCAGGTTCTCTCTGGGGAGGATCCTGTTGTCGTTATGATAGTTTTAAGTGCAAAGCTATAGTATATTTACTCACTTATCTTCCTGTGCAAATCTCTTGCAGGAGTGCAGACTGGCTGTACGCATTTAAGTATTAAAGCCTGTACATTAGCAAAGGTTATCAGTGACTAATAGCTAGCAATAATAAAGGTTATCTCCTCTCCCTGTCCTGAACTGCCTAGGAAATAGAGACATGCAGGATTGTGAGCCAGCTCTTCCCCTACCTGAGAAGCATACAGGGCTGATATAGGTCCACGTACTTGCTGTACTAAAGCTGTGATAGTAGAGCTCCACAGGTCTGAGGGCAGAGCCCTTTGGGGTGGATGTGCCAGAGCTGGGCACAAGCCCCTGTGGCCCCGGCAGCCTCTCCGCAGCGCAGCGTGGCAGCACCCCCAGTCTTGGCAGAACAACACTCACACTTCTACCAGTTCAGGCATTGGCCATTGCTTTATTTTTTACATACCGTGCAATGTTGAAGAGCTCTGGATGGTAAGGTAGCTGGATTCGCATTTCTGTGATTCGATATCCAGGTCTCCAATTTTTAAGATGAGGCGTTTTCCCAGAGGCACCTGGATTTTCTTTTCGCAAAGAGTGTAATTTGGGTATGTCCCAGGATAGTTCTTGGATGCCAGGGTCCCGCTGTCTTGATACATCACCATGTGCCCACATCCATCCCCTGCAGTAGGAGGAGAAACAAGGAAGAGAAACAAAACGTATTCCTCAATAAAAACCGTGTAAGAAAATACTGGCCACATAACCATGTCTCACATGCACCTCCAGCTTTTAAAGACGTATTCTGTAACAGTCCATCTCAGTTATGCTGTTGTTGGAACACAGGTAACTAAAATAAATACAGTCATATTTCTCTTGTAAAGCAGTAGAAAGGAGGGTTGGAAACACTCATGAACTAAGATGTATTTGATAGTCCTGTACAAACAGAGTCTCTCTCTGGCTTTCTGTTTTACAGCCAAACCCTACTGAAACCCTGAAGATGCAATTCCACATGTAATAGGTAGGGTCCTTCCTTAAACAGTTTTCTCCCAATTATCATTCCACATTTTATTTCCATAGGAAGAGCCGTCAGAGAGAGAGTAACCGAATCATACATGAAAGCACAGACATGATTTAACTATATACTATCATGGACCTGACTCATCTTACTTTCCTGTTGGTTTTCTTGCGCCACTTGCACAATACAAAAAGCACAGGGGACAAGTCAAAGGCACAAGAGGGGCTTCAAAAGTGGAACATGCATCGTTAATGATATGCAGGCTACTTCACGGTAGCATGCCCGGAGATGTAAGTGCTGCCGCCTCCTTGCTCGAGGGGTAAGGGTAGGCACCTGCAAAGTGTTTTTTCATGGCGCTGTGTAGGAGCAAGCTCGGCTTTGGAGCCTTTCCTTGGTGGAGAGGCATCTGAGGAGCAGCTGCAGCAGAACGTATGACAACAGGAAAAGGCGCATGGAAATACATGGGGGGGATGTGGGGACTGACATGGAAAACAGGAAGCATCCATGGGGGGGAAGGAAGTAGGTATCAGATAAGAGACCTTGACTACTAAAGGAAGCAATTTTTAGTGAACTATTTAAAAGTGTACTAGTAAATTAAAATTGATATATTAAAGCTTAAGCCATTTCATTCTGCTGAATCTTCCAACTAATGGAAACTACTGCAATAGTGGAACTAGTCCCATATGTACATGCATACAATAGGCAGTCCTCAGTTTTAGGTCAGTTAGGACATAGGCACTCTTTACATGGGAGTCTTGTATACTGTTACCCTTTATCACTGCAAAATTGAAGTCAAGCCTAGAAGTGTTCATAAAATAAAGAATCCTGCAGAGCTGGGAATTCACAATGTTCACTTCAACTACCCAAAATTTTACTTTTGGGGATATTTTGGTTAAACTGTTTTGGTCTGTTCATTTTAATTACTTTCTGAATTTCCTTCCACAATCACTAGGAGGAACAAACTTAAGATTTGATAAGATTATTTAAAGGTGAACAACTAGAAATGAAGTGTTGATAAAGAAACGTGCCATACTGGGAGTTGGGGGGAAAGTGGCATGCTGTGCAAAGATAAGCTCCAAGTTATCAAACTTTGGCTCGCTACTATATAATTACACTGCCATTTCATCCAACTCACTCAACCGCTTTTTCACAAGCAACAGCATTTATTTTGAAGCTTTATCATTATGACTAGCTTTGTTGCCTGCTATTTAATTTTGTTGCAGGTTCATGCTTGGAATAGAGGTGAATAGGAGACACAGATCCAAAATCATATCACCATAAAACATATTAAATATGTTTTTTCAGATCCTCTTGTTCACACTTTAAAAAACATCTGTTGTTCAAGTTTGTTATCCAAGCTCTATTGATTTCAGAATGCATAGGAACATACTCAAGATGAAAGGCAAACTGGCCTCTTGAGCACATCATCTTTTTAATGAAAACTTTCTGCAGCAGGAATAAAAACATAAGAAGCAATACAGTACATGAGCTATCAACTTTCTGAACCCAGACAGGGGTCCACAGAGGTCCAGGCAGTGTAAAACCAGATCACTTCCAGCAGGACACAGGACAACCTTGCTGCCTGCGTAGCCGACTGCTGTGTAGTAAAAAAGAACTGCCCTTGGCCTTTAATTTAAGCTGCATGTTTCTGACTGCAAGCATTTACTTTAGCTGGGTTGATGAAAATAAAGTAACTACAATCTGGAGCTTGGTTTGCAACTTATCCTTATTGGGAAAGAAAAGGGAAAACAAAGGGAAAAGTTACACAACCACAACAAAATGTCATGGGGACGAACTCCTTAAAATGAAAAGTCTAGTGTTCACATGGTCTTCATCTCGCTGGGCTACGTTCTGGCCAGTATCACCTTGGTACAATCCCAAGGATCCTTTGTTGCACAAAACTCTCCTCAAAAAGCTGAAAAGACATTGCTATCATGATAAGACCCTGACAACTGTCCAGGTCACAGAGCATTATACTTCTGCAGGAAGCGTACAGGCAAAACTGTGCACCAGAGATCTCAGCCTGCCATCCTCCTCTGTCGAGGTTATACGAGGTCTTGTTCCCAGGGAAACTCCTTTTTTAAAAATCTGCCTTTGAGTCAGCGTTGAAATGTATTAGCACCAGAACATCTTTTGAGCAAAGAAAGCATAAATGCTATTTTCCAACTTTTCAGTGGTGGACCATGGTCATTCAAACACTCCAACTGATGAGAGGCAAGCGCAGCATCATCCTGCACCTGTAACGTCCCTTGCTGCCTCTGTTCTGCCTGCCTGCCTCAAAGGAAAAAGTCATGACAAAAGCTTGTTCGCTACCAGAACCAAAGCAATGTCCAAAACATCAGACCAAGTCCTAGTATCTATTGCTTCTTACGGAGAAGCCTGACTGCAGCTCTAAATTTTGAGTTTCTCAGCAAGTTTACCAGAGCAAAGAAAATTTGCTGGAAAATGCACCCTAGGGAAGGAGTCTGAAGGTACAGAGGGAAGGTAGAATAAAACTCAGGATCTGATAATTCATTCAAAGATATATTTAATGACTAAATGTAGCAAAAAAACTTAGAAATATAACCCCACTGTACACCAAGAGCTCAGAAATGGAGGCAAATTTTAAGAAATTCAAAACGTATCCCTGTTCACATTTTCAAATGAAAAATGTGAACAATACTACCATTAGTTTTGTTTTTATAATTATTTTCCACATGAAGTTTTGATTTTCAGTAGAAATGTATTGGCCAGACTTCAATACACTGAGCTTACAACACAACTGCTTGTCCTTGTGAAGGTTTAAATACCTGATGTCACACCCTTTTCTATAGGCACAGCTCTTCTGGCTGGAAATATGTGTATTCAACCAGTCAGTTCAACGCAGGGCTTCTTGCTGACACTTAATTTTCACTTAGCATTACTTCTGAGAACTGCTTTCTATCACCCCATTTGGCAAAAAGCTGACAACCTTGCCTCAGACATCCAGGTTTCATCACTTCTCACTGGATGGGAGCAAAGCAAAATATTTGAGCACAAGGTATTCAGCAGCCAGAAAGTCTAAACATGCTTAGATTTAATAAAATCTCTCCTCAGCACCAGGAGTTACTAAAAGCACATCAAACATGCTTTGTAATCCAAGTTCCCATGGGCATTTGAATCAAGATCAAGATCGTGGTCTCTGGATTGCGGGCGCCCACTTGTTGGCCTACACTGAGGTGGTACCAAGGATCACACAGCAATGGAATTAAGGCTGTTTACCACAGATAAAAATAGTCTCCTGTGGCAGATGATGGAAATAACTCCCCAGGAAGCGAGAACCACGACCGGCACCTTCTGCCACAGCAGCAGGCACACCTCTTGCACCTTGCCCTCTCTCACACGGTGCTCACCGAGAGCAGCGCATGCGCGTGAAACCAAACCTGGGACCCCTTCGGAGGACACCAGTGCATGCCCATGGGGAGAGGGCGAGAGGAGGTACCAGGTGGCTGGTGGGTAGCACCATTTCCCATCCTCAGACACATGCATGATGAATGTGCGTGGGACAAGGTAAAGGAGTATCTCCAGGCAGCTGCATCTGGGCTGGGTCTGACCACGGCTGCTGGCTCATGGGCAGGAGGGACCCCTCCAGGACCTAACCTGCCCAGGAAGGCTGTAGGTGATGAAATCGATGCCCACAAACAAGCTCCGGCCCCACACTGTGAGCTGCCCTGGACACAGCCGCTGACAGATACTGTGGCTTTAGCAAAACCGTGGTGGTCCCAGAAGCAGCAGAGTTAGAGATCTCTGAAAATGATGCTGGTTCCTTGAGGTACCCTCCTGCCACCCAGAATTACTTGGGCTGTCTCTCTCCTCCCATCTCTTCCCAAGCCCAGTGCACAAGCCAAGCCCTGGCCTCTTACTCCTGCGCTCCCTGGGCTTTTTCACCCCTTGCTCACACGCACGGCTGGATGTGCGCAGCGCCTTCATCCAAGCACTCAGCATACCACCCTCCGAGTTAGGGAAGAGGCTACAGTTTTTCAAACACTATAAAAGTGCTATAAAAAGTTTCCATGTGCTGCACCTTTCACTAAACATGTTTATACCGCCAACTACAAAACAGTTACATAGCACGATATCAAAGTGCATTTTCAAAGGCATTGCTACAATATCCTGGCAGCAAACAGCTGCCTTTTTCATCCTTCTGATTCACCCTCATTAAGCAATTAACAACGGACTTGGACTCGCTCCAGTGCTAAATATGTGTTATACCTAGGTGTACTCATGCACACACCAGCGGCTCCCTGCCCTCTTCCACCCCACTGCACGAGCCCAGTCGGGCACCAGCATTTCTCTCTCCGCCTCTCTGGCTACAGGCTCCGGCTACCTGCCCCCCCTTGGCTGCCGATCTCTTCCCACCGCGACGAAGACCCCCAAAGTAACCTTATTTCCCTCTCTGCCTCCTCTCTCCCAGTTTGACATCCCTTTGGACGCCCACCTTCATGGTGGTGCTTGGGACAAGGCGTGCTCCCCTTACCCCACCCGGAGGCCAGGGCGCACAGCCAGCGGGGGGGCTGCCAGCCTGTCCTTTTTCATTCCCACTCCTCCTTCCCTTGAGAAAGACTGAGGTTTTATACCTAAATTTTGGATTCAACCAAAAATCAGTGTTTTCTGAAGAGTGACAGCTGCAATTTGACACAG